AAATAATTCTGGACTTAGATAATCAGGTGTACCACATGTTGTAAATGTTTTATTTAGAATTTTTTTTGCAAAACCTATTTTTTTATAAAAACAAAAAAAAAAGAAAAGAAAACATTTATCCATATGATATGATTTTATTTTTTTTTACCAAAATCAACAAGTTTAACATGACCTTCAGCATCAAGAAGTATATTCTCTGGTTTTAAATCACCTATTTATAATATTAGACAAAATTATTTTTTCTTTTAATTTGATATATTAAAACTTACGATAGATAATTTGTAATGAATGTAAATACTCAAATGCAAGTATTATTTCACATATATAAAATAATGATGTTTTTATATCAAATATACCTTTTCGTCTCATATATGAAAATAATTCTCCACCAGGCATATAATCAAAAAGCATATAAAGAAATTGATCGGAATGATGTGTCCAATAAAGTCGAACAATAAATGGATGTTTAATTGCTGATAAAATTTCTTTTTCACTTTTAACATGTTCAGTCTAAAATTTTTTTAAATATAAAATTAATATATCATATATAAATTTTTTTTGTTTTTTTATATTTAATATTTTTATTAGTAAAATTTTATTTACTTGTCGTGATTGTACAACATGAGTAATAGAAAATATTTTTAATGCATAATAATTTGATGTTTCACGATCTCGTACAATAAGAACATGACCATAAGAACCTGTACCAACCTAATAGAATTAAATATTTTAGTTTTTTTTTTTTTATTATTTCGATTACTTATTTATATTAAGACAAAACTAAAAGATATATTAAGAATATTCAATCTTTTTCTTAATAAATTTTTCTTTGATCTAGAAGATTATTATTATTTTCTTTTTTTGAAATGATTCTCATAAATGATAGAAAAAAAAAGCTTAAATAATAATCATTCTATGTCTAGACAAGTAATTATTGCTTTCAGATAAAAATTTTCATTACATTGATTTTTTTTTTTAGAATAATGTTAAAATAAAATTTTAATTAATCAAGAACGTAAAAGTAAAATTAATTTAATTCATGTAACAATTAATGTCATAATCAAAACCCTCTAGTAGACAGAAACAATAGATGATTAGAGACAAGCTTAAAAAAATCTTTTCTTTTTTTTTAATATTCTGTCTTTAATGACATATGTTGTAATGTCTTCCAGTAACAAAAAAAAAAAAGTCTAGAAAAAGAATTAATATTTCTTTTATACTCTTATACGTAATTATATTGAATTTCATAATAAAAAAAGAAAAAGACTCGACGAAATTTCTATTTTTATTTTACTTATATTTCATATTTGAATAATGAATTCTATTAATAGTTATTGAATTGAACTGAAAGAATAATTTTATGAATCAAAAAAAAAAAAAAAATACATTCATTGAACAAAGATGATGAAAAATGAGGAAGCAAATATTTAGTTTGCTTTTTATGTGACTTGTTATATTCCATTCAAACAATACAAATGTTTCATTCAAGTCAATATGCAACGAAAAGAAAAAGATTGTTTACATAGAGAAAAAAAAAACTATCATATTATTTTTGAGACCCTTTTTTTTTTACATACATATATCTTAAGAAAATAAAGATTAGGAGATAAAATATTCATTTTTTTTTCCTAAAAATCTTCTTACCGTTTTAAGAAATTCGAGACGTTCAAGTGATTGTTGTCGTTCTTCACGTTCAACCAAACTAATACTACTTAATTTTTTTGCTACTAAAACCGTATCACTTTCAGAATTATGATTATTACTTAATGTTGGTGATTCTGTCGTACGACTTGATATGCTTATTGATGAAGGTGCATGATAATTTGATGATCTTGATGTTGTCATTTTTCGACGAATAATTTAACTAAATCTTGAAAAACAAACTTCTAGTAATGAATTAATTAATTTTTCTAGAGCAGCTATTAATGTTGTTCTCTTTTTTCTTGCACTTATCTCAGGAAATTAAGAAGTTTCTTATAAGCTTTATGGTTAACGACGACAGTAATGGAATTGAAATTCCTTTTCTTTCTTCCGTTACTGTTGTCGTTTGTGAAAGCTGTAATGTGTCGCGGTGTTCTATTTGTATATGACTATGAAAAAAAAAAAAAAAATTGTGCGTTTCTTATATGAATGACATTGCATGAGAAGCAATAGAGATCATAAGAAAGATAGATGATGTGGTATAAAATAAAAAGAAATTTCGGAAGATTTTATATTCAATGATGATGTCAGTGTAAATAATTTTTCATCTAATCGACATTAATAATAATAGTAATTTGAAGAATATCTTTTCTACTTATTTTTTTTGTTCTTAGGTAGAAGATTCGAAACCCTTATTTTTCAAAAACAAAGAATATATTTTATTCCACATATTTAACTTATAAGGTCTTTATTCAAATGTTTTTTTCTAAGTATTTCATGAAATAATTCTTTCAAAAGAAAAAACTAATTTTTTGTAAAAAAAAAAGAAAATTTCTTAGATTAAAAAAAAGCATATTAGTTAAAGTACATGAACTAATGTGTTATTAAATCTTTCTATATTACTAGAATTTCATTCTTCTCATGATGATTTTTTTTTTGAAAAGAAGATCAAAATATATATAGATATATAAAATCCTATCAACTTCGCTACAGATTAATGCCATAAGTTACCTGTTGTGTGTATGTTTCTATGTATATATGTAGGTAAAATGGCAGAAGACAATAATTTCTGTTACTCACGTATTGACTCAACAAAGAACAACATTGTGAGCATGTAGTCTGATGATTTCTTCTTTTTTTTCTACTGTTTTTTTTTTCATATACTTCTCACTTCACTTTCTTCACGTCTTTTCGCCTTTAAATAAAGTCATTGTCTATATTAGACGAATAAAGTAAAGAAAGAAGAATATGAATGATTAAAAAAAAATAAAACGAATAACTACAAATTTATTCTAATTATTAATTTAATTAAATCTACAAAGAAAAAAGATAAATTACATTGAAACTTTTTTTTTTTTACAAAACTCCCTGGGCATAGAACACAAAAAGAAAAAAAGTTGTACATACAACTAGTATTCGAAAAAAGAAAAAAATTTGACGACTGTTGATGTGACCAAATTCAAAATTGTATTTTGTTGTTTAGTTGAGTAAATAATGAAATTTTAAAAAGAAAAAAAAAATTGTAAAACTTTTGTAGACGATGATGCCAAACAAAAACACAGCAGTAAAAACATTCGTTTGACCTCTGTACAAAGTACAAAAAACATTACTTTTTTTTTTGCAAATATATATTTCTTTTTTTGTCATAATATTTATTTTTCAATAAAGTTTTTTTTTTTTGTTTTGTTAAAATGAGCTATAAGTTTAAATGGATCAAACATATGTTCAAGTGAATAATTGACTAGTTGAAACAAAAAACAAAAGTATTTAAACGAATTTTTTTTTGTTTTATATGAAATATCTAACAATAATGATATAATGAAGAAGACAAATTGATAATTTTTAATTTCTATTTTATTTTAAATAAAAAATAAAACATAATAATAATAATGTTATTTTATTTTTATATTGATGAATTAAATATGAAACCTTTTAATGAAATTGGCAGTAACTATAAAAAGAAAAGAAATTTTAATGAAAATATTTTTAAGTTAAAGAGTTACTTGCCAATTTTTTTTTTGGACGAAATAAAAATACTGAGTAAACTTCATTGTATTATATTTCAATACTTCTAATATGTGTGTGGTCATATGCAAAACATTCGTTCATAATACGCTATTAAAAAACAATCATTTGAAATTGATACAGTTTTTTAATATTATGATGAAAATTTCTCGATTAAATGTCGATCTGCTTGTTTTAATAATGATGTCATTAATTCAATGAGTTTTTTTTTTCTTTTTATGAAATGAATTTTCTAGAATATTTTTTTGCTACTTTTAAACGTAGAAAATTATTTTTATCGTTCAACCATTATATTTATTATATTTGTCTTAAAACAAAATAAGAAAAAAAGACTTTTTATTTAACATTTTTTTTCTTCAATAGATAATATACCTTTGTAAGTTGAATATCAATCTTAAATGTTTATTAAATTTATATTTTATTTTAATTTTGTTTGTTTGTTTGTTTTTTTTCTTCAAATTGTATTAAGAACTAATATTTATAATCATTTATTATTTTTCACTTAATATTTTTACATTTATCTTTTAATGAAATAAAATGTCATTGAGTCGAATTTATAAACTAGTAGTAGTCAAACATATTCTTATGAATTATTCTATATACTATTTGATTGATGATTGTTATATACAATATGACTTATTAATAAGGCTAGATCAAAAAGTACAAAAATTAATTCAATAACAATGAATACATATTACTATTGATTGTAATCATAATACTGAGTCTTTTCTCCTATTTGAAATATTATCTGAATGAGAAAAGAAAAAAAAAAGCAAGAAATTCACCTATTTGTATACTGTAGGTTTCTGCTAGAATATTATTAAGTTTGTATTCGATTCATACGGCTTTACGTTTTTTTTTTAATATAAAATTTGTTTTCGTGTGCTGTTTTTTTTTTTTCTAGAAGACTTTACAAAAATGATTGCAATATCCTATAGTAATTATAGTGTGCAAAAAAGATGGTTATATTCGCATCAAAGGATCTATCTTAATACTATAATAAAAATATTATACTTTTTCATGCGAAAAAATTCATGTTCTGCATATATAAGTTTATTTTTTCCTTTTATTTCTTATAATAAAATCAATAAAATATCTACATCCTCTGATCAATAGAATTATAATATTGCTTGATCTATTTTATATTCATTTCTTAGGTAAATATTGTTTTTAAAAAATTATATCGTAATATGTATAGTTGGTATATTCTGAGAAGTATAATTAAGGACAATTAACATAAATGAAAAGAATATATATATATATATGTATACGTTTACAGCTTACTTTACGACGTATCTTTAATATTTAAGTATTAAGTTGTTAGTTTCGCTAGAATGCCATGCATAAGTGATTGTTTAAATGGTGGTATATGTTCATTAAATGAAACATGTATATGTTCACCATGTTATGCTGGTAATAGTTGTGAGATAAGTACTAATGTAATAAAATTTTCATTGACATTTGCAATGCGATGGGATATTGAACAAACTTTAACAAATTCAAATTTTAATGTACCTGAATTTACTTATACATTTGTTATAAGTCTAATGTTATTCATGGCTATAATAAATAATATAGCATGTTTACAAACTTTTTTTTTACATGATATACGTTTAACAAATTGTGGTATGTTACAAATATTTTATTGTATATCAGGTTTAATTACAATTATTGGTATGCAATTACGAATGTTAACAATGTTAAAATTTGATGCATTAACAACAGCTTATTCTTATCGATATGCAGCATGTAATATAATACCTGTTATTGTTATTTTAATGGGTGATACTTGTATGTGGTTAAGTTCAACATTAATAATTGAATTTGTTCTATTGGAATGTTTTAATTTTGATATATATCGTTCTCGAAGATTTTCAATTATATCATCAATTATTGGTCTTTTAATAACAATTGGTACACATATGCATGAAATAATTGCTCGACGTCCATTACCTGATTTAATGCATCCTAATTTATATTCATGTACATTTGCTTATCCATTACCATTAGATATAATTGATAAAATTCTTCGTACATGTCATGTTATTATACCGCTAACAATACATTTTATTGCTAGTATTTTTATGCTTATGAGTATAACACGACGTACTTTATTTGTTCGTGATCGTACTGATTATTTTCGAGTATTTATAATTCAATGTATAAAACGTAAACATTTTTTTATTCCACCATTATTTATTATTTTATCTAATCTTCCACATTTAATTCTTCATTTAAAAGATGAATGTGAAGATGCTCGAAATATATCAATTCTTCGAATACATATTGCTTTTAATATTCTTGTTTATTTACCACCATCAATAACATTTTTTATTTATATTTTTCCATCAAAAAGTTATATGCATCAATTTAAAACAACATATATGGGATATTATTTGAAATTAATATATGAAAAATTTAAAGATAAACAAATATATAAATGGAATCAATTAAGACAAATATCATGTAAAAATTTTATTACATTAGTATTACATACAATACAAACTAAGATTTTACATAAATAAAAACAAAAAAAGAAAATTTTAATTTTTTTCATAAAATATAAATAGACATATAAAAACTATTTTTATCATCAATGATGACATATCATTAAAAGATTGCGTCTATTTTATTAGAACTCTTTTTCTTTTCAACATATTAACATCAAAAGAAGAAACATTTAATATAAAGTCATGTCGTCTTTTATTTTATTTTATCAAAAGTTTTATAATCGTTTATTATATGGGAATTATTTTCAAAAAAAAAATTTTTTTTCTAAAGAACTTAATCCAACAGAAGAAGATTCAAATAAGTTTTAAATTTTTAATAATTGACTATTGTTAATTTAAAAGAAAATTTTTTCAAATACTTCATTCATAAATGATTGTATTTTAATAAATAGAAAGAATCTATCTAATTTTCTTTTATTTCCGTTTTTCACCTAGTACTTATCATTTTTAATTTTTTTTTTTTTTTCGTCTTATCTCTAAAATGCATAGAATAGTATATAAAAGAAAAAGAAGAAGAAAACTCGTTATAACAAGATTTTCTTTTTTTTTATTTCTGTATTTTCATAGTATACTATAATTTGTCTTAATCGATTTGATTACATTTACTTTCAAGAAAGCTGGGTATTATTTTTGACATATCATTATAGTTTATTCGTAGAAAATCGTATCAAATTGATTCATTATTATTTTTTTTTTTTCTTAAGAAAAATAAAAACCTGCAAAACTTCGCAATATAATTATAGACACCAACAGCAATGTAAGCATCATATAGAATACTAGATCATGCATTCCTTTTTTTTTTCTTTTTCTTATTCTTCTTCTTACATTTGTAAGAGTTTCTAGTCTTAAGACAACGAGAAATTCATCGTAGTTTGATGCACAGTTATATATGAAAAGAAAGACGATAATACAATATAATGATGCGTATAGATATAAAATATTCTCACTACTCTATCCGACAACAATAATAATATAGACATAAGATTATAAGAATATTCTTTTACACATTTTTCAGATGTTCTGTTTTCAACGTCATCTTCCGCAAAGTGCATTCAATGAATACTAATATGGTTTCTTGTTTTCTTTTCATTCAATTATACTTCTTTTTTTTTTTTTTGCTATTAATATAAAAGATTGTATTCAACTAACATTCTTCTTCATTTAAAATAGTTAGATGTTATAACAAAACAAAAAACAATGTTTTCAAAAAGAGATACATCATTAAAACCACCGGATATCAATAGCAATAATAATTATTTTTCTTATAATCAAAATTTATTATCTACAAATACATTTTATGATTCTCATTATAGTTCAACACCAAATGTTGCTTTTTATTTTAATAATCAGGTAAATATAAAATCTAAATATTTATATTTGAAATAGTCAAATAAAAATATTTATATTGTTTTATTTTTTTTGTCATATCGTGCGTAAAACAGGAAGGAAAAAGGATGATAGTTGAGAAGAATAATAAAAATACAAATGATTGTTATTCAAAAAGAATAATGTGAAACATGATTTTTTTTTTTGTCTTCTCAGAATTAATTGATCTATTAAAAGATAATAATAATTGTAAAAACAAAAAAATCATTTTTCTAGAATTCACCAACATTTTATTGTATATTAATTGACTATAATTAACTTTAATCAGATATTAAAATTTATATAAAGTACATTTAGTTCACTAGAAAGTTAAAATAAAAATAGAATATATATATATCATGAAGTAAAAAAAAACAAGTAGTTTAAATATGTATATTAACTATTATAAGAAAGTAATCAATAAATTGATATTATAAAAACAAAAATTAAATTAACTCGTTCTTTTTTTTTTATTTTCTTATTACTTATAATTTAATCAATCTTCCTATTCATTTGTTATTTTCATAACCTTTTGATGTTTTGAATGAGTAAGCAGACATTATTCATTGTAATATACAAAAAAAAAAAAAAAGAAAACAATATACTTTAGGTAAGTACTTATTCATTTATTTATCATGCATGATATTTCAATTACATAAATAATAAATAAATAAAATAGTAGAACAATCACAATATTTTAGGTTTAAATAACTTAGAACAAAAATTAAAATATAGATGTCGCAGGAGAAATTAAAATTCAGGAAAATTTAAAATTTTCCTAGGAAAAATTAAAATTTTAATTTCTCCTAGGAGAAACTAAAATTTCAATCTTAACTGGATATTTTCTAGGAAAACTTAAAATTTTAGTTTCTCCTAGGAGAAATTAAAATTTTAAGTTTTCCTATAGGAGAATTTTAAATATTCCTGAATATATAATATCAAATTTATTACTTTTATATTTCAAAAATACAAAGATTAAAGTAGACATTTCAACGTGGTTTCGTTTTTTGATAAATTACATTTAGTACCACATTGTATTTTTGCTGCTCGAGAACGATATTTCTTTGTTGAAAAGTGCCATTACAATTACATGCTTCAGTGAGAGTAATTAATCCTGCACTTACATAAGCTTTACAGGCTTGAATGAACGTCATTGCTAGTAAAGCTGTTGAATCGACATCATGTAAGTCACGAACGTTACAGTTAGATAAAAATTTAATAGATCTAGTGGTTGAAACTGTGAGGAGATTATACCTGTTCACCCAGAATTTGAGCTAAGAATCTCCCTAATCATCACGGAGAAACAAAATTATATCATCATATAGTGATTGTTTTATAGAAAACTTATCTTGACACTTGTCATTTAAACCTTCGATATGATTATCAAGTAATTTATAAAACTGTTCCAGGGACATAAGAGCGTGAGATTTGACTATCTACTCAAATGATATACTAGGCGTTTAAGTGTACATTTTTATTTGCTTCTGATTCTCTATCGATTCTACTGGACGTAAAAAATATTCTAATTTTTCCCATAGAAAAAATAAAAATATGAAGTTTATTTTATATGTTTAGGAATATTTAAAATTCTCCTATAGGAAAAATTAAAATTTTAATTTCTCCTAGGAGAAACTAAAATTTTAAGTTTTCCTAGAAAATATCCAGTTAAGATTGAAATTTTAGTTTCTCCTAGGAGAAATTAAAATTTTAATTTTTCCTAGGAAAATTTTAAATTTTCCTGAATTTTAATTTCTCCTGCGACATAGACATTAATCGTTTCTATACTATTGTATATTATTGCTACAATTAGTTTCTTTTAAATCAACAGAAAAATAAAAGCCGATTTATTTTTCCGATTCTAAAAAATCTAAGTTTAGGTTTATCGACATGCGTAGAAGTTTCTTTCAATCTCGTCAAAGAAACATTGTTTTGTTTTTTTTCTTTAGTTATTAACAGTTTAGTTGTAAGAATAATAGAATAAGAAGTTTATAAGAAATATACATTTATGCACGAATCATGACGTGTTATTGTTGTTTTTTTTCTTAAAGTTTATTATCAATTGTAATAATTTAGCAATATGTGATCTACTTCAGAATTTTTATCAAACGATAGAAAGAAAAATAACATCGAAGAATATCTACAAATGTGTTATGGTACTAAGAGAAATAATAATTAAAGAAAATCTTTGATGACGAATGAGAAAATGAAATATAGAAGTCATGTCAAGATCAAAATATATCCGCCCCCATAAAATTGACACTTATGAATATATATATATGCATCGTTCAATTTGCTTTAACTGATTACTATTACTACAAGTGAGATTGTGTGAAACATGCTAGAAAAAAAAAAAAGAATTATCTATTCGATAGAGCAAAAGAGAAAAAAAAAACCTACGAGGAAAAAAAATGGAAAAAATAATGATTAGGTCTCTTTTTTCCTTTGCTCTAGTGTGTTCTTCTCCTTTTACATGAAATTTTTTCTCATATACTACCATAAAAAAAAATGGCAACACGGGACACAAACAAAAAAAAAAAAAAAAAGAAAATTCATAAATGCATAGAACAGGATATTATAAATGAGTTTTTTCTCTTTGATTTGACAACTTTGTTTTTCAACACGCACATCCATTCATATTCTATCAATACGAACTATAATAATAATAGCAATAATTTATAAAACAAAAAAAAAACAATCGTGTGAACATGGATCAACGAAGATTATCTGTATGTGCTAATTTTGTTGGTTATACAGATGCTATGGAACACACTAATCAGTCTAATGTAAGTGTGAAATTCAATAAATAAATAAATATATATATATTAAAAACATGATGTGAATAAAGCCTTATTTTATTAGATAACATTGAAAGTAGAAGTTGTGATAAATAACAGATGACATTTTAGTTGCCTCACTTGAATAACTCTTGTATAATTTGTCTGAATAAATGTTTTCGTTATGCTAATTAAACAAAGAGAAAAAGAACATCTTTTATTCTTAAGAAGTTTTTAGCCTAATCATAGCCTCCGAACAAAAGTCATGTAAATCTTAATCGCTGAATAAACTTTGTTCTTTAGCTATTATGAGAAAGTTTAAATAAAATACGATTAATATATTTAATATTTATTTATTTTTTTTGTAATATTATAAATATATTCTTGAATGTCATAAAAACATCAAAAAAAAAAATGCGAAAGAATTTACATGACTATGAAAAAAAAAAGTATTTTTGATAAAATATAAATCAAGTTATTTGTTTTCCGTTTGAAACTATTTCTATATGAATTGAAAATTAATAAAAAAAATTAAATTGAATAATCCAGAAAAACCGAAATTAATCTTCGATATTCGATCTCAAGAGAATATTATTTTAATATATTTATTCATGAAAAAAAAAAGAAGAAAATATAAAAACGTCATTGCATATAATAAATTTGATATCTTATATAAATTATTTAGATGGAACAAAGACGTCTTTCTGATAGTGCATCATTTCGATTATCAAATCATAATTTATATTATCCTGGTGAATTTAATACTAATGAATCATATATGTTAAAACAAAAAAATTCATCATTAAATATGCTTTTGGATTCAACAAGTTCAATGATGCGTACAGCTTCAACAACATTTCATTGTCTTATTGGATCAGCACGTCGAGCATCATATTGTGGTCAACCTGATCCAACAATTCAATTATCACCACGTGGTAATAGTGGTTCACTTTATTTACTTCCTACAACAGCTAATTCAAATGAATCATCATTATCAAATGCATCATATGAAGAACAACGACGTACAGTAACTATATATGATGGTAGAATTCCAACTCCATCAACACCACCAACAATTCCATTTGAACTTATGACACCTATTGATCTTATAACTCAAACAATAGAAGATCCAGTTGAATCATTTGTTCAAATTGTACTTGAAGAACCTGATGATCGACCACCAATAATACCACCTGTATCATCACCATCATTATCATCACTTAGAAATTCATCATCTCGTCATCGACATCGTAGTAATTCACCAAAATCATTATCATCAATAAATGGACGTTTATCAACATCAGAAAATAAATTAACTGATACAAAAATATCATCAACTACAGAAATATCTAATACAATAGAAACTTATTATCAACCACCTGATGTTGTTGAACCAATGGATTTTTCATTTCTTGAACCAGTACTTCGAGGTGAAAGTGCTGCACCACCATTAACACGTACTCAAAAATTACGACAAATTTCATCACAAAATAGTTCAATAAGTGAAGATTCAGCTATTGATCTTCGTTCTCCATCACGTACAATAACTATTGTTACTGATGATTTAAAATCACCAGAATTATTTATTAATGTTAATTATGATAATAATTTAATAACTAATTCAACTATATCATCTTCTCGTTTAAAAGTACCATCTCCCGATTGATTAATATTATAATTCTCTTGTCTTTTTTTTTCTTTCGTTTTATTCAATTTGTTATTTAAAAAAAAAATTATTTTTACATAATAAAAAAAAACAAAAGATTATAAATTTGTTAAATTAAAAACTAATAAACAATCTCACATTTTCAATTGATATTTCATAGATTATTTATAAGTTACATCGTACTTCTTTTTTGTTTTTAATCAAAAGATTCAATGTATAGTTTTGCACAAAATTTTATTTCAAAACTACTCATTCCTTTGTGTTTGAAACAACGATATTATTAATATTGTTATTTTTGGCATGACATATTTTTTATTCAAGTAATCAACTAAATCGATCTCAATATATGTGTGTTGGAACATACTAAATCATTTCTTATGTCGCGAATACATCACATAAGAATTGAAACAATGACAATTTTTAATGATGCTATTGAATAAAGATGAAAAATATTAGTAATTTTCGAGTCAAATCAGAATTACAAATTGTATATTTCGATACAACAAAAAAAACAGTGTGAACTATGAAAAACGTCGGAAAGATATCAATCGATATTGTGCTCTGCAGAATATATGCTTAGAATTTTTCTGTGATTATTTAGTTGTGAGTCTTGAAATGGTTCGAAAATTTTTTTCTATTTTCGAGAAAAAAGTTTCAAACAGAATTTTTGTAAATTATTGAAATCAAGTCAACACTTCTACATAGAATAAGTGCACTATGACAGAAGAATTTCTATAAAACTAAATATAATCGTTTTCAGAAACAAAATTAGTAATTAGTAGTACAATCTTACAAAACACAAAATCTCGAATAAAAAAAAATCGATGTTTTTAGAATAATAAATTTTTACTTTATGATGTTTATAACTTGATTTTATGCTTTTTATAATGACATACTTCATCGATAAAATTTCGATATAGAACATATTTAAAAGAAAATTTCATATGTTATACAAATGTAAGAAAATTCAATATTGAAAATTCTTTCATATTAAATAATTTAAATTTATAAAACATGTATTCTGCAAAGATTTGTTTTATATCTTATCAAAACTTTGTTAGTTGATGCTAGATAAATATCAATTGATTAATCATCGTCAATGTTATAGATAAATGCACGTATAAGTTTTTTTTTCCGTCGTCAATCAACGAAAGAAATACCTATCAAATATTTATAAAATTCTATGCATCTAAGTTTATATCTGCTATTTTTATTTGCTTTAGATCAACAATACGGAAAAAGAAAAGATTGATAGAAAAATACCTCGAGTTATCTTTGATTACATATATATATATTTACGAACTTTTCACTCAATAATTGAATAATAATTACCATACTATAGTATTTACAACAACAAAAAAATATTTATTGATAAACATATTCGATTTCTATTTTTTTTTTTATAGAAAACCAACTTTCTATCAATGAATAATTTCTTTAGTGAAATCTAATATAACATCATTTTTGTTTAGAGAAAAACTTATTCAAATTTTTCTCAAAAATTTTATTCACAAAGAAGAAAAAAAAAACAACGCAAAACTACAAAAAAAAAGTGAATGCATATCATCATTCATACAGTTATATTTTTGTTTTTTTTACAATCATCATCTTCATAAATTCCACAACTAGAAAAATGAAAACACACTACAAAGAAAAGTTTTACAAATATCTATGAGACAAAAAAAAAAAAGAAAACCACACGTTCATAATACAAGACTAAACTATAGAAATAATATAAAGTGATTAAAAATGATTTAGTTTGTTACACAAAAAAAAAAAAAAAAAATTCTTAAAAATGAAAAACAATACACTAAAATGAATTAAAATTAAATTTTTTCAACAAGATCATCAAGATCATCCCAACTTTGTTGACTTGGTGCATTTCCAATTGAACTTACACCATCATCAATCATAACTAATTGTTCCATAGCATCTAACATACTGCTATTTTCTGTTTGAACATCAACTAAACATTGACTTTCAGTTGTTGTTGTTGTTTGTGTATCATCTGTTATTATTGTAACTTGTTCTTGTGTAAAATTATTATTTGTTGTTATTGAAATTGTTTTTTCTTGTTGAATTGTTGTTGTTGTTGTTGTTGTTATTTGATTAGCTGCCATTTGTTTATCTTTTCGTATCATAGCTGATGCTGTTGCTGCTGTTGATTTAATTTTTGTATCAACAATAGGATCATCTTCAAAATCTGATTTTAACCATTCAATCATATCTGTAAATAAACAAACACCATTTTGTGTTGGTTTTATTTGTAACATTGACATTTCATATGGATCATTTAAATCATTATCATCAATAAAATCTTCTTCTTTATTATTATTATAATCAATAAAATTTGATGCATATTGTTCTTGATGAATTTTATAATGATTACGTAAACGTATTGATGATGGTATATATTGTTTACATATTGAACATATACGTGAAGATAATTTTATTTGTAATGATGGACAACATGCATCAAATGGTAATAAATCATTATGTGTACGATTAATAACAATACCATGAAATTGTATACGTTGAAATAGATTACCATAAAATGGTGATATTATATTTAATTTTGCTGATGATGATTCAATATCAGACATTTTAACACCACTTGATGAACGATTAAATGGTACTGGTGGTGGAAGAAAACGATGAGGAAATACACGTATATAATTTGAACGCCATGGTGTACAACATGATGAATTATTACAACGTATTATTTGTATTGTATATTGAGTTTGAAGAACATGTGTTGCACACCAATATCTAAAATATTAATAATTAAATATTTTAATCTTAACTTTTTTTTTTTTTGTATATGATTATAAAATATAAAATATTCTTACTCATCAATATCATATTCAGTTTTAATTTCAGTTTTTGGAAATGTTGTTGTTGTATGTGTTTGAGTTATACGTTGTTCAAGTGGTGCTTCTTCTTCTTCTTCAGAACAAATTCTAAAAAAAAACAAAAAAATTTAATATTTAAATTGAATTTTTTTGTTTAATATAAATATACCGATCAATAATACTATCTAAAGCTAATGTACTATCAACCATTTTAAGTTGTTCATCAATTAATAATGGTGGATTAATATATTCAGCAACAACAGGATATTCATCAAGTACATTCATACTCCAAACTTCAGCTAAAACATCAGCTGTCATTTTAAAATTTTCTTTTTCTAATTCAGCATGTTCAGTTAAACCACCATCATTTAAATGTGTACCAAAATGATCATGTGGAAGTATAAGACCAGCTAAATCATGTGACATAGGTGATAAACGTCGTTCAATAATATTAAATAAAGCTTGACCTGGTGCTTGATTTATAATAAAAAGTGCATCTAAATTATATTTTTTAAATTGATCAATTGCTGTTGAAAGTGTTTTAAGATAACGTGTATTATTTTCTAAATTATTACTATCAACATTAAGAACAAGTATAGGTTTAATACGACCAAGATGATCACGTGAAAATTTTTCAAATTCTTTTAATTGCATTAAACGATCAATATCAATTGCATGTGTTTCATGTGTTAAACGATCATGTTTAGCTGATCGTATTGAAACATATGTTGGACCAGCATAACCAATTAAACCTGTATCATCTATAACTGATGCAGCATAAATACTATAAAATAAAAAATAAGATTTATAAGAAAAAACAAAAAAAAAAAAATATTTTTATTTACCATGGTGTTAATTGATGATGTTTAGTAATTGAAGGTATTTGTGGTTCAATTAAACTTTGTTCATAATCTAAATGCATAATAAGTGGTGCTTGTCCTTTAGCTGTAGGTCGACCAATACTAATTTTAGCTTTAGTATCTTGTGTTAAATAAAAAACACAATCATTACCAAATATTCCTGCTAAATCTTTAATATGTCTTAATGTAGCAGCAGTAAAATGTGAATCTAAATTGAAAAATATTTTTATTTTTAGATAAATCTTATTGTTATTATCCATGCTAAGAGTAAATCAAAAGATCGAAAACAAATTCCTGTTTAAGGGATCTATGTCTATGTGAAATTCGAAAGTCAAAAAAACAAACAAATGCGGGAAGGGATATGACCAGGGGCGGATCTACAGTAGAGGATGTGGCGCGACCGCATCCTTAGTGGCGTAACTAGGATTTTGGCAGTGGTAGGGCTTAGCGTCGCTTAAATGTCAGGTGATTGGGCTCAGGAGAATGAGGTCTGTGGGATGGTAGGGCTCGAACACGTGGTGGTTGGGCGGAGCCCAACCTTGGTTACACTACTACGCATCCTCCCCTTTGGTACTGATTTCATGCTAGTTTCTAGCGATTTGTCTACAAAATATCGTACCCCCCCCCCTTCGAAAGTTCCTGGACCACCACTGGGGATGACATCCTTATAAAAAAAAACAAAATGAACCTTCATGTTTTGGTGGTTGTTCAATTCCTTGTAATTTTCGAAGACGTACAGGTACAGTTACAACATGTTTTTTTCCATCATGAGATAATGCACGATTAGGCATAAGACTAAATCGAAAAAAAAAAACAAAAATTTGAAATTTTTTTTTTTTTTAAATTTACCGATAATAAAGTGAAGATTTTCGAATTTCATATCCACGTTCTTTTATTTTATCTTTTAAATCATCTAATGATACACATGCTTTGCCTTTATTATCTGCTGCACCACCAACACGTGCAATTTCAGCAATAATTTGTAAAAGATCAGGACAATCTTCATCAATTTGCATACCACGATTTGTTGGACGAAAAATTTTCGATAATTCAGCAGCAACTTCAGGATTTGAAGCACATAATTGTTCAACACGACGTTTTTTTCTTTCACGATAACGTGTTGATGCACGTTGTTTTGATTGAAGACGTTTAAGATCTGTTGTACGTTGTTTTTTTTGTTCAATTAATTTTTTTAATGTTTTTTGATTTTCAGGTGTTAATAAACCCATACTTTTAACTTGAATTAAATTTGCTATACGTTCAGATATTTCTTTAAGATCTTTTAATA